CTCTGCTGCCGAAAAGAGTGAAATAGTTCAATGCCTTGGACGAGGTATGAAAACATTAGATATTTCACGAAAACTTAAGCGTGATCATTGCACTATTAAGAGATTTGTGGCTGATCAGAGCACAGACGGGTTCGTGCAGATAAAGGCACATTGAGGAAGATTTCTGCCAGATCCTTGCATCGGATCAAGAGAGCAGATGCTAAAATACCATCACATAGCAACAAACAGATATTTGAAGCTGCTGGTGCCTCTGGAGTTCCACGGACATCAAAGTGTAGAGTCCTCCAGAGTCTTGCAACTGTGCATAAACCTTCTATTCAGCCACCACTAACCAATGCTCACAAGCAGAAATGGCTTAATTGGGCAGAAAAATACACTAATTTTCAAACAGTCCTGTTCACTGATGAGTGCAGTGCAACCCTGGATGGTCCAGATGGATGGAGTAGTAGATGGTTGGTGGACAGCCACCCTGTTCCAACAAGGCTGCAACGTCAGCAAGGCGGTAGTGGAGTCATGTTTTGGGCCGGAATCATGGGAAGAGAGCTGGTCGGCCCCTTTAGGGTCCCCGAAGGTGTAAAGATGACCTCTGCAAAGTATGTGGAGTTTCTGACTGACCACTTTCTTCCCTGGTACAGAAGGAAGAACTATGCTTTCCGTAATAAAATCATCTTCATGCATCTCGTGCTGCAAAGAATACCTCTGCATCAATGGCTGCTATGGGGATAAAATGAGAGAAAGTCATGGTGTGGCCTCCATCCTCCCCTGACCTCAATCCTATTGAGAACCTTTGAAGCATCCTCAAGCAAAATATCTCTGCAGCTCTGGGAGGCTATTCTGACATCTTGCAAACAAATTAAAGCATAAACTGTCCAAAAACTCACAAGTTCAATGGATGCAAGACTTGTGAAGCTGCTATCAAATAAGGGGTCCTATGTTAAAATGTAACGTGACCTGTTAGAATGTTAAAAAAGTTAAAACGTTGTTATAAGTTTGATGGAAATAGCTTTTGATTTCAGTAAATATGCTGCAAACACAACAAATTACAATTTTCAGTTCTTTACAACCTATAAATAGTGATGTCGCGAACCATTCGCGAACTTCCCGCGAACGGCTCGCCACGGTTCGCCACGAACCGTTCGCGGCAAGCTCCGGTCAGCTGACACATCCTGGCCAATCTACAGCAGACCCTCCCTCCCAGACCCTCCCGCCTCCTGGACAGCATCCATGTTGAAGGCAGCTTCAACATGGATGCTGTCCAGGAGGTGGGAGGGTCTGGGAGGGAGGGTCTGCTGGAGATTGGCCGGGATGTGTCAGCTGACCGGAGCTCGCAGCGAGCCGTTCGCGGGATGTTCGCGAACGGTTCGCGACATCACTACCTATAAAGTGTTTTGAAACTTACTGTGCGTAATAATTTGGAACAGTGCATTGTAAGTTTTTTATGTTTAAAAAAAATACTGTTATCATTGGATCTTTTTGCATTAGCAGATCTACAGACAGTAGATCAGTAGAACAAGGTTTGTTCAATAAAATTTGAATTGTACTCTTAAGAACACTATAGTCACCTAAATTACTTTAGCTAAATAAAGCAGTTTTAGTGTATAGATCATTCCCCTGCAATTTCACTGCTCAATTCACTGTCATTTAGGAGTTAAATCACTTTGTTTCTGTTTATGCAGCCCTAGCCACACCTCCCCTGGCTATGATTGACAGAGCCTGCACTGGTTTCACTTTCAAACAGATGTAATTTACCTTTAAATAATTGTATCTCAATCTCTAAATTGAACTTTAATCACATACAGGAGGCTCTTGCAGGGTCTAGCAAGCTATTAACATAGCAGGGGATAAGAAAATCTTAATTAAACAGAACTTGCAATAAAGAAAGCCTAAATAGGGCTCTCTTTACAGGAAGTGTTTATGGAAGGCTGTGCAAGTCACATGCAGGGAGGTGTGACTAGGGTTCATAAACAAAGGGATTTAACTCCTAAATAGCAGAAGATTGAGCAGTGAGGCTGCAGGGGCATGTTCTATACACCAAAGCTGCTTCATTAAGCTAACGTTGTTCAGGTGACTATAGTGTCCCTTTAATAGTTGATAACATGAGAATTATGCTGACTGTTATTTACATCAATTATTTAGGTAAATGAGAAAAATATCATTTGCATAATAATTTGGAACAGGGTGTAGAACAACAGCATCTAAACAATTGTACTGGCTCAACACTATATAATACAATTCATAAACTTATATATAAGGGCTGATCCTGGGTGGGTGCAAAGAGGCAAATCATCAAGGTGTGCACCGACCGCTCATGTTAGGTCCTGACCCCACCTATTCCTAATCAGCACCGGGCAGAAGAGCTGGAAGGAAAAGGTCACAAGCTGACAAGATATTTGAGGATAACTGGGAAGAAGTGACCTCACTTCCTCCGAGCACTGAGCTGCAGCTTAAACAGGGGCCCAGTGTCCTATTAAAGTGCCGGACCCCTGATCAGAGAACCACATCGGGTAGACTCAAGTTTGTGGGCAACTTGATGGGCCTCCCCAACTTGCAGGCCCCCATGCGGCTGCACTGTCTGTAGATCTGCTAATGCAAAAAGATCCAAGGCTATAGGGTCCCACATTTGGGCTTCTAACCCCTAAACCCCTCACTATTGACGCCCCTGGCTCCAACCCTGTTGTAGGTTTTCAAAGTACGTCTTGCAAACCCTCTTTTTAAGGAGTTGAGGTGGGAGAGGGCACCATTATGCCGGTTCTCAAAGTCCTTAATCACAGCTTGAAAGGAGCTCCTCTCTGGCTATAGACCATCAATGGAGGAGAATTCATGCTGCTTGTGTTCCTTACCGGTGGCACAAAGCTTTCGATCAGTTGTACAAAAAATATTCAAGGTCTGTCCATTATGTACCTTTCATTCGGATGTCTTGGGCCTCAGTTTTGACGTATGTTTCAACCATCTCTTTGAGTTGATAGCTAATCTGGGGGCCATTAACACCTTTTGCCTCTGCACATGGAAAGAACTTCAGACACTTCTGACAGTGTTTCTGATGCTCAATCCTGTAGCCCCACCCCTTTTTATGACTTGATGATGTCACACCGATATTGTGATGTCATTGCCACACTACTCATAGTCATTGCCACACTACTCATATTTTGGGGTGCGGTTATCAAGTAAGCACCACAGGCCTATAAATAATTGAGTTTGAACTGTTCAGTGCCTTTTTATAGTCTCAGAAACCAGTGCGTTACTTTGTTTTTGTCCCTGATATTGTGTTTATTGACCCGGCTAGATAGTGACTTCGATTTTTCCAGTATTCCCTGTGTACATTTGACCACGATTACCTTGTTTCTGTATTGTGTACCAGGATCTGGTGATGTATGGCATTGTGTTTTTTCCTATTCCTGTATGCCTTTTAGACCCAGTGTGTTCGTGGCCTGCTCCAGTTAATCCGTGCCAGAGTTTAATATTGCTATTGCTTTGAATAGATTTAATATTAGTTCACTTACTTCCTAGTTCCTGGTTTGCATTAAGCCGCTGTTACTCTAAGCTCCGGTAATACGCCTATCTCATCACACTTAGCCCTTTTTAGGATTATGGACAATAAATAATATTATTTCATTATTATTATCACAGAAGGACAGCAGTTACATCTCCACGCCTTATATCTTTACAAGTAGTCTTGTGTATTATGACATCATAATGCTGATGTCTTATGTGGTCAAATCCTGGTTGCAATGCCTCATGGGAAAATCACTTGCCACACATCTTTAAACTCTACTAATTGTGCATTTTGCTGCAATTTTGGATGAGTATATTGCTTACAGTTTTTTTATTTCACTAGAATTAAAAAGCAAAGTAACCCCCACAGACAAAAGCTTATCGGATACTACATGCCCCTCACGCTAGATGGCTCCAAGGTACCTGCGCTGGTACACATAGACGAGTGAATACTCACCCAAAACTTCCACAGTTAAGGCCCACGTTACAACATCCCAGCCCAATATAACTTAAAAAATATGCGAAATGTATCTCAACAGTATATTCAATGTAGAATGTTCCTGTGACCCATGCACATAGGGTTGCGGTAATTTTAACATCTGTCTTTTCATCGTATGAAAAATAAAGATTTACAAAAAAAAAAAAAAAGCAAAGTAAACTTTATCTGGGCACCTACCATCATGCCACACTTGCTAGTCTGTAAAATCTCCTTTCTAAGCAGGGCCGTCTTTAGCGCGGGGCAAACGGGGCAGCTGCCCCGGGCCCAGTTGCTCCTGGGGGGGCCCCAGAGCAGCTGCCCCATGGGCCCCACGATTTCAGCAGCCCCCATGTACCCGGCGGCCGGCGGTGCAGCCGCACCGGCCCGCCAACTAAGGAGGCCCCCGGGTGGCCCATGCACTAAGGGCCACCCTGTGGGCATGTGGCAGAAGGGGCCCGGTCGGGCGCTGTGACGCTTAAACAGCGCGACCGGGCCCCTTCCTGTACCGGCTGGGAGGAAGTGAGTACCGCGTGTCACTTCCTCCCACCGAAGATAGCCGCGCGGGAGGAGGAAGGCAGGGAGGAGGGGAGTTCCAGAGAAGAACTCCCATCTGCCTCAGCCTGCCACTGGACCCCAGGGAAACCACCCTCCATAAAAAGGTAAGAACCTGGAGGGTGGCTAAATGTATGTCAGTATGTGTGTGTATTAGTATGTCTGTGTTTGTGTGTTAGTATGTCTGTGTGTGTTAGTATGTCTGTGTTTGTGTGTTAGTATGTCTGTGTGTCTTAGTATGTCTGTGTGTGTGTGTGTTTGTTAGTATGTCTGTGTTTGTTAGTATGTCTGTGTGTCTTAGTATGTCTGTGTGTGTGTGTTTGTTAGTGTGTGTGTGTTTGTGTGTGTGTGTGTGTTAGTATGTCTGTATGTGTGTTAGTATGTCTGTATGTGTGTGTGTTAGTATGTGTGTGTGTGTGTGTGTTAGTATGTGTGTGTCTGTGTGTGTGTTAGTGTGTTAGTATGTGTGTGTGTCAGTATGTCTGTTTGTGTATGTATGTCAGTATGTCTGTGTGTGTCTATGACAGATATACTGACATACACACACAGACGCACTGACATACACACACACACAGACATACACACACTGACATACACACACATACATACTGACATACACACACAGACATATACACACACAGACATACTGACATACACACAGACATACATACACACACAGACATGCTGACATACACACACAGACATGCTGACATACACAGACATACTGACATACACACACAGACATACTAACACACCACACAGACATACTAACACACACAGACATACTGTGTGTATGTCTGTGTGTTTGTATGTCAGTATGTCTGTGTGTGTATGTCAGTATGTCTCACTGTGTTCCAGTGTGTGTGTGTGTATGTCAGTATGTCTGTGTATGTCAATACGCCTGTCAGTGTATGTGTGTGTGTCTGTGTCAATATATCTGTCAGTGTATGTGTCTGTGAGTATGTATGTGTCTGTGTGTGTATCAGTATGTCTGAATGTGTGTCAATGTTTGCCAGTATATATTTTTGTGTCAGTGTATGTGTGTGTCAGTATGTATCTGCGAATGTTTTAATGTGTCTGTCTGTGTGTGTATGTGTCAGTATGTCTGTCAGTGTGATTGCGAGTTGGGCGTAATGGGGAGGGAGGTTGCAGTGACAGGGCCCAGGGGGCCCAAGAAAAGGCTTTGCCCGGGGTCCTATTCATATTATAGACGGCCCTGTTCTAAGCCTAATTAAAATGGGACAAAATGGGAAAACCTTGAATGATACAAGTGTACCTCAAGGGTTAATAAAGGCTTTATGACCATTTCAATATTTCGAAATGGTCAGGTGCAAGGATCCTGTTTAGTATGAAGCTCGGCACATGTCGAGAGTCATGACACCAATGTCTACTAAATTGGCTAAACGAGTTGCAGAATTGCGTCATTCAGCCAGCTAGGTAAGGGGCAACAGTTGGAAAATCTTGGACTCCATTACCCGGGAACAGATCAGGGGTACACCTGCCATTATATCAACTACAGTGGTCCTTCAAGATTGGACCTTTCAGATTGTGTCCTTCAAATGGACCTGAGAGTCACAAAATGTGTGATTGGCAAAAGGTCAGCTTCAGACAGGTGGGCAACATTCCACAAAGCCTTCTTCTGCCTCTCACAACAGGTCCACCATAGAAGATGTATATCTGCTCATGGCAGGAAATCTTTGGTGGGCATCCAAATGCACTTGGAGTAAGAGGCGTAACTAGACACCACAAGGCCCCAGTGTGAAAATTGTCCTGGGGACCCCCCATATGTCTACCCACCACCCCCATATGTCTACCCCCACAGGTCTACCCCCCACACCCCTCATATGTCTACCCCCATACGTCCACCCCCCCACACATGATACACATACAGAGACACACATGTACACACACACACACACACACAGACAAATATACACACATATAGAGACACATACATAAAGACAGACACACATAGACTAACACTCACATGCAAAATGGTTTAGTCACCCTCTTGTTTCCTACCTTTTAGGTGCAGGTGGGTGACTTTCCCTGGGGTCCAGTGGCTCAGGCTGATGGGAGTCAGAGTTTCCACTCTGACTCCCTCCTCTCCCTCCCACGCGGCGCTCTGTGTAAGATGGAAGGAGTGACCAGGGCTGTCACTTCCTCCCAGCCTTTCACCTCATCAAAGGGGAACTGGTCGCGCTGTTCAAGTGCCGCAGCGCAGACTGGGCCCCCTGGAAATCTATTGCCATCAGGTGGCCCTAAGAGCATTTGCCACCAAATGGGTCCTTGAATGTGCGATCCCCGCAGTAGTTCCGCCACTGCTTGAAGCTACAGCAGCAAAACTTGTAAAGATTTCACCAGATGTGTAGTGGCATACATAACACTAGTCTGACATATCTTTGCCACTAAACATCTGGTCCAAAGATTAGAAAGAGGCTCCTAGTTTCTGTATTTAGGCTGGACACCTTTATGTAATTTGCTATGTTCTGATACGGCAATACTTCAAATAAAGGAAAACGTAAGATGAGAGCATGCAGGGGATACAATAACTTTAAACTATGAACATGTTGAGGGCAGCCTTCAGCCTCCTGTGCGAAGTTGTGTCACGTTACCAGTTTTATTACATTCTCAGGGCTCAGTGGAGCTATATCAGAGAGTTGGAGTATCAGAGTACCATGATGAGTCTGTCGCTATCATTCACTCTACCCCTACAAATCAGGTAGACATTTTTCCCTCCCTTCCTTTCCCCATTTATTCTGTGTCCCTCTATATTCCTTCCTCACCTCACAAATCATGTCCCCTCCTCTCCCACCATTCCTGTACACAGTCATGTTTGCCATAATCACTCCCTGCCCTAAAAATCATATATTTTTTTACTCCTTCCTTCCCCCTACAGCACAGGAGCAGGGATTTCATCTCTTCCTCATTTTCCCCCTCTCCCAGCTCACAAATCACGTCCCCTTTTCTCCCTCCTCAAATTATATCCATTATATAAGTAGTGAGACTCCACTGAAACACTGCACATACTGACTAGTCACCATGACTACTTCAAATCACTGACGGAGACATGGTGGGTGGAGTAACCCTTTAAGGCCAAAACAGCTAAATTTGAAAAATTCTCCAAATAAACTATCCAGTTTGGATATTGGGTCTAAAATTTGAAATTCATTTTGAACTACCAACAAGTATCACTTTATTAACTAACCCTATAACTTGCACCACTGACATGCACAAGGAGACACTGTTGCATCGCACTAATATGAGCTATCTTCATGGCCAGATTAGGGAACGTAGGAAACCTTTGGCACTCGATTACATCTCCTCTGATGCTTTGCCAGTGTTGTGGATGTAAGAGCATTGTGCGAATCTGGAGTGGCTGAGTTAGTTTACCCCCTGGCCTGGGTGAATTCTTTCTTTGCCCTGCTAGAGTGCTTGAAGGAGCACTCCCTATTCAATTCCTTTCAGAACACAGAGATACTCTATTGTTTCACACTAACCTGCACAATTGACGTGCATTAGACAGCATTAGCTTGGACCAGTGATGTGTGTAAAGGAACTCTAACATTTTACATTAACCTCCGGCGTTCCTCAGCGATTTCTGCCCTTTTTATTGCATGTTCTATTGATGTGTATTACGAGCCCAATTCACATACCATAACATGTACCATTTGTGAAATAATAGCACTGTGTCTGCATGTATGGAACAATGGTAAATGTTATGAAATTGTGTCCTTTCACACTAACTTGCACCATTGCTGTCTATATGACGGCCTTGTGCTTTCTATTACAATAGCCTGTAGCATGAATATGCTTATAGGAGCTCTGTCCTTAGCTTTCACACTAACCTATAATATCAAAGAAGATATCAGAGCTCTGTTATTAAAAGGGTGACAGTATGCCGTTACTATTTCATCTCATTTAATCCATTGTAGTGCCTGGAGTCCCCTGGCATTGTCTCTCCAGTTTGTGTTAAACCATTTTCGAGCTGTTTAACCCTATATAATGGCCCTGGACGCCCAAAGCCTGGCCCCCACTGGAGGTGTGGCTAAAGCAGAGATTACACACTTCCTTCTAGCCACCGATTCATACCAGTATTGGGCACTGTGATAGGCTGAAAGCAGTCAGCTGACACTTTGCCCAGTGCTGCTCAGGCTAATGCTTCCTCGTCTGCCCAAGATGCCCCAAGAGGATGGGCTGCTGGGCACCTGTTTAGCACTAAAACATTGAAAACAGTTTAACTCTTAACGGAAGGACAGAGCCAGGGGACTGCAGACTCTACAACCACTTCAATGAGACAAGGCAGTTACAGTTCCTACAATGTCCCTTTAAATACACACCTGTCCATATAAAGTGGTAAGGCCTGAGCAAATTGAATAACACAATGTCTCATGATCCCCCATTCAAATGGCATAATATATTTATTTATTTTTTGAGGGGGAAGGGGGTTAAAGTTTAAAAGCAGGTATATATTCGTTGCCTTAATATTATGAGAATTGCAGTCTGAGAGTGCGGCGAAATGATAAATAATAGTTTAATGGGCCCGTGTACATGTCTGCTGCTTTGCCTTCTCGTCTTGCCCTAGTGACGGCGCAGCATCGGCGAACAAGCCAGTACGCTTCCAGCTGCCGATACTTTGCAAAGAAACGCTTCTCATTAGCAGATTTTTCTTTTGAAGAACACGATCGCTCTTCACAGAAACTTCAGATCTCCCTGGCAGACGTGGCTGACAGCCGCTCGCTGTCCCTGTTCCTACACACTTTTCTCTCTGGGCTTCAATTCATTAGGCTGAAAAAAAATCTTTTCTATAGGGGGAAAAGGTTACAGAGATGTGAAGGATTACCAACACAAACAGGCTTTGGCAGAGAAGGGGAAGAGGTGACAGAGATAGTAAAAGCGGGGCAGAGATATCACAAGAAAGTCCTAAATTAGGCCGAAAATTGCCTTAACCGTTCTGCTACCTGCGTGTTGTTTTGTTAGAGCACTCATCTGCCGTCTCTGCTGTGTGATGATGCTGTCTGTTTGAGTAGAATGTGGGCGTCATTAATTTATGGATGTCTCTGATGTTTTTCTGATAGCTGGATTTGAGGTTGCCAGACTGCACATATCTCGATTTAGGCCTTAATTTAATATTTTTTGGTAAACCGTTCAAACAATTTAATATCTTTGGATAAACTTTTAGATTTCATTTGGAAACCGATTTTAATATTTTGAATTTTTATACACATTTTTTTTTATTATATATGATTTTTAAATTTTTATATTTTAAATATTTTGAAAAACTCTTTTTTTTAAAGCTAAGTTAAAAATATAAAATTTAGGCTTTAGATCCTATGTCATTGGTGGAATTGTCTGTTGGTAATCCCCGCCCTATAAAGCTTTTTGATGTTTCACATCTCTCAGAAGCCCCCTACACCCGCTGTGTATGTCTCCTGTCATACCTCTGGAATGACAGGTAGTCCCCCTGCTGCCTGTAAAATTTAAAAATAAAAGTTAAAACAGTTTAAAATAAGATAATATATATTTAGATCATATATATATATATATATATATATATATATATATGATGATCTAAGTGTATATAT